TGACTTCTGACTCTCTCGTTACAAGACATTAACATCAAATCACAGCTTTTTGCTTTTTCATAATAATATCCACAAGCTATTTCTATGAAAATCTATCAGTCTAATCAGTAAAACCCAAAATCAAAGTTTAATTCTTTTCCACATCAAGCATGAAGTTCAGAAGCGGTCTCCATGTGGAAACAGAAGCACTTATATTCTTTTCTTTAATCAAAGTGGCCAGTCTTGCCATTTCAGCCAACTCCATCACCACCTGCATCAGAGTTATCTCTTCTTAAAGGTCAGAATCCACTTTCCAAAAGCTGCAGAGCCAACTTTAGCTTGACCACCAAAATAAATCATGTTTTTTACTATAGGAATAAGCTATCATGAGTTTTGGTACACACAGTTCCATTCCTTTTCCTTCGGTCATTACTATCTGCCAATAGTACAAGCTGCTCTTTACTTTCTAGTTAGTGAAGAGAGTATACATCACAGTCCACACTTCACATTAAACAGATGTGTTTAAAATTAGAACAAAACTTTCTGATTTTGTGAAAAAGGAAAGAAGTTGCCCGCAAAGCTTGTTGCCGATACTTAATATATCAGCTTTGGAATAGCTCCTAAAATGGACTAGATCAAAGAGGTGTGCAGTTTTTGCTTTTTTATGAAATGAAAGGAGATCATAGTGTATGGAAAGGCCTATCAGGTATAGAAGAAGCTTTTCTTGATGTCAGCAATATGTGATAACTTGGATTCTTCTCAGCTCTTGGCAGAGTTGTACTGTGAATGTTTCCAAGCAGACGGCGTCTCTCTTGGCTGGGAGAAACGAAAATGTCTGATGACTTTGAAGTCTGTTTCCTAGGTTTCCTATCCCTTTGTAGCATCAACAGTTTTTACGTTTTTCATTTGAGCTCTTCTATGTGAGCTACGGTTTTTAAAAAGAAGCTTCAGAGTGGACATATCTTGCATTTGGCACCTAACAGATAAATATCGTATGTTGAAGAAAGAGCCTTTTTGGCAAGCAGAAAGCTCTGCATTTGTTTTCCAACATATATGCGGTAGACGTTGATTTGCTATTTTGTGATATTACTGTTGTCTTGCTCTTAGCTGCTTGAATGAAGCCCATTAAATAAGAACACAAGCAAGGCATACGCATGTCTCCCAGTCATCTTGTGCACACAAACAACTTGTTTGTGTACACAAGATGGTTGGGAGAATTACAAAGGAGAGAATTATAAAATACAAAGACCTCCAAATAGAAATGGAACAACTTTTAACGTTATCAAACAAGAGCATTTGCCTATCTTGGGTTCTTTGTAAGGGCTTGATAGGTGGACAAAAATGCCAAAGCCAGTCTAAACATCTGGATGACTTGCCATCACCACTATTAATAGCAATTACAATAGAAGTTTCATGCGCCGTTGTGATGCAAAGGTTAGAATGCAGTACTGCAGGCTATGTCTGCTGACTGCCAGCAGTTCAGCACTTCTATTCTGGCCGGCTCAAAGTTGACTCAGCCTTCCATCCTTTCGAGGTCAGTAAAATAAGGAGCCAGATTGTTGTAGGTAATATTATGCTGACTCTGCAAACTGCTTAGAGAAGGCTGTGAAGCACTATGTAGCAGTATACTGTAGCAGTGTAATGCTATTGCTATTCATAAACCCTATCTCTCTTTGATGATTTCTTCTACTTTGTCAGAGATCAGATAGGTATTTGCTGTATGAAGAATGTTCCTTTTCTCTCCCTAAAAGCAACTCTTTAGTACTGAATATATTTGCTATATTGATGAAAGATTCTGAACAACTAATAAATGCCAGGTTATTAATCTTTTAATTTTTAAGTGTGTACTGTTTGGATATATTTCAGCCTCAGGTGAGCAAGGGGTGTAAGTCATAGTTTTAAAATGATCATTTTAACTAAAAATAATAATTTTGAAAAATACATGTATTTGGATAGTCAAAAATAGACGATGACCATACTATTTTCAGAGGTGAACAATTCTCCAGTGAGCATGGGAACGTTGTAGGTTTATATTTGTTGATTCCCTTTTTGTAGCCTGTGTTAGAAGAGTAGAATAGAATTCTTTATTGGCCATGTGTGTTTGGGCACACAAGGAATTTGTCTTGGTGTAAATGAGTTTTGCAATGAGGTTAAAATAAGTGCAGTCTGATTTTTAAAAACCAGATCCAGCTGTTCTAGAAATGTTTGTCCTGCATATACACATCAAAGAACCACGTATATCCCATTTACTGTAATGTAGTTAATTTTATTATTAATAGTCAGATAATTGAGGCTAGTTTATTTGGGTGGGTAGGGTTTCTTAAATTGTAAAAGCTTTCATTCCTTTCTGTTATCTAAGGTTAATTGTCCTAACATGGAGGTGCATGCTTAAAGCATAGTTAAACGTAATATCCACTGCATGCTCTTTGCCATCAATCCATATATTTAAGTAAGATAATTTTTGTCAATTCTGAACATCTAGTTGGTCTAGATTTAGGTACACATATACATTTTGTGAAAGTTTGGTGTGTTTTTCTTTCCAGATATTTAACAAAGTTTAGTAAAAATGTGTTTAGATTTGCTTAAAGTCTGTCTAAATGGGATATACTCCAGTTAACATTTAAAAATTTGGGATGTACTATTAGATCTTAAAAAGCTGTGAGAAACATTTTTGTGTATGTGTAACATAGCTTACAAAATATGATCTCATTTGTACACCCACTTTTTCAGGTTCTTTTAAGATATGTAAAGTAATGGGGATAGATGCTTCATAGTATAAGCATTTCTCGACAGGATCCAGTGTTTAGTAAAGAATCCAGTGTGTAGTACAGCTTTTTACCAAACAAAGCTTTTTATTATTTTTCCTAAAGGCAAATAGTAAGCACTTTTAGTCAAGCTAAACATTTAGTTTTTAGAAATGCAAAGTACCAGATCATGTCAAGGGAGATGCTAAATAGGATATGTGATAATTATACACTGAAATGAAATTGCCCAAATCTTGTTCACGCATCCTAGAAGAAATCAACCCTGACTGTTGTCCTTTAGAAGGACAGATACTGAAGCTGAAGCTCAAATATTTTGGCCACCAAATGAGAAGAGAGAACTCATTGGAAAAGACTCTGATGTTGGGGAAAACTGAAGGCAAAAGGAGAAAGGGACAACAGAGGATGAGATGGTTAGATAGTGTCATAGACACAGTGAGCATGAGTTGGGGCAGACTCAGGGAGACAGTGAAGGATGGGGTGTGTATGATGTACTGTGGTCCATGGGATTGCAAAGAGTTGGACAAGACTTAGTGACTGAAGAACAAACCTTCACTGAATGGACTTTGCCTTCTATTTGTATGTTCTGTTTTAGCTCTTGAATAGACATAAATGACTTTCTTTGCACAGATATTAGGTAGGATACACCAGTTCTTTCTCCTGAGATGCCAGAAGGCCTGCAAAAATGTCACAAAGTACCCCATTAGGTACTCTTTATTAGAAAATGGTGTTGTGGTTCGCTGGCAGCCGGTACAGACAGCAGCGGAGTCGGACAGTGAGGAAGAAAGGTGACCAGTCAGGGAGTCTGGAGAGGACTTGGATGAGGGTCCTGCGTCTGATGCAGGATGGGGCCAGGACCATTTGGGAGTGGGGTGCTGCCTTTGAAGCCTTTGGAGTCTGGCAGCAGTGAAGCAAAGGACCCAAGGGAGCCGGTTCCCAGTGCATGTGTGCGCAGAGCTGCTAGAAGGTGAGAGCAGCTGAAGCAGAAAGAGCGACTTGGGAGTAAGGCCTGGGAGGTGATGGCCCCTCCCATAAGGGATACAAGTCAGACTTCAATGAGGAACGGTTTGGAGGAAGCAAAGTTGTTCAATAGTGTCTGAGTCCTTTTGGAAGCTCCGTGAACTCTGGTTGGTTTTTTCTGGGACTTTGGTTGATTTGTTATAATTAATTGGACTTCTGTTTTTGGGCAGCATTCTACAGCACTGAAAGGCATGCTCTTATCTGGGGGAACTGTTTATAAATAGTCCTAGCTGAGAATGAAAGTAATTCCCAGCGTTGCATTAAAATAGGTTTTGTTTTTACAATAGGTTTGTGTTTCATTAAGTTTGACGAAGCCTGGGTCAGAACAAATGGTTCCTCACCAAGATGGGGCAATAATCCTTCAGACATCAGATTTTATAATGAAATAAAGTTCTGGTTTTGGCCCTAGAGATATCTTTGGTCCTGTATAAGGTGTACTGTTAATTATAGTTATTAATTATAATTATTTTTAAAAAAAATCTATTCCAATTGCTGTCTTGGGCTGCCTATTATGGTCTGTCTGTAATTTTGTTGATCATTAAGATCTTTAAGCAGATAATCAGATAACCAGAGTTGGAAGGGACCTTATAGGTCATCTAGTCCAACCCCCCACCCAAGCGGGAGACCCGACACCATTTCTGACAAATGGCAATCCAATCTCTTCTTGAAAGTCTCAAGTGATGGTGCTCCCACAACTTCCGAGGGCAAGCTGTTCCATTGGTTGATTGTTCTCACTGTCAGAAAATTTATCCTTATTTCCAGGTTAAAACTCTCCTTGTTCAGTTTCCATCCATTATTCCTTGTCTGGCCTACAGGCACTTTAGAAAATAGCTTGACCCCTTCTTCTCTGTGGCAGCCCCTCAAATATTGGAAGACTGCTATCATGTCTCCCCTGGTCCTTCTCTTCACTAGACTAGCCAAGCCCGGTTCCTGTAACCATTCTTCATATGCCTTAGTCTCCAGTCCCCTAAGCAGTAGCTGAGAAAGGACACTTGCAAACACAGATTTTAGAGGTTGATTTGTCAAGCATGCTTACTTTATAGTTTGTCCTGAATTTCTGAATTTCAACATATGTCAAAGGTTATGTAGTATTGTGTTCTATATAATATCCAGACTCCTGTGTGACCATATATGTCTAGCATATTATAAAAATTGCTGGTATTCCCACCTAACTCATTTGATGTTCCCGTTGGGAAAAGTTAAGCAGAATTAATCCAAAGTGTCTTTTCTGATTTATAGATATGGTAGCCAATGCGTCAGGTCCTTTGCTAGTGGAAATTGCAAAGGCTCCAGGCTCTGCCCTAGGAATCACATTATCAATGAACACCCATCGAAATAAACAAGTCATAATCATTGAGAAGATCAAGCCAGCTAGTGTGGGAGACAGGTAGGAGGCTGAACTCTGATTATGTTCTCCCAGATATGTTTGGTTTAATATTTATTTCTATTTAAAATGTTTTTCCTCTGTTGAGATCTGGAGAAGCTTGAGAAAAAAACAGCACTGTAATAAGTGCTATTCTGCACAAACTATATTTCTTACATAACAGGGAGTGGACTTTATTTGTGTATATGATTTCTACCCCATCTTTATTTTTGGTTGACTCAAGGTGATGTGTATAGCTAATGTGCCTGCCTCCTATTTTCCCCATAACAATAACCATATGAAGTGTTTTGGCTGAGAGAGAGTGATTGGCCCAAATCTTCCAAGGTGGCTTTCATGTCTGTATTGGTAAAAATCGTAGGATTATAATGCAGTGCGTTAAGGAACTGAATTTATCGTGGGCACATCTGAGGGAAGGTTTTCTCTTTCATATCAAACATTTCAGACTATTTCAAGAGTGAAAACCATCTTTTATAAATACTGTGAAACCTCTAAAAACACAATATTACCCCGATAATATTTTTGGAAACAAAGAATATCTGTTGTTCAACGTTAACTAAAGTTGGCTTATCAGAAATAAATTAACCCTGTTAAACTTGCAAAATTATGTTGAACTTTTAATATGAACACTTACAGATTAATTAGTTCTCCAAAATCTTATCTATTGCACAGAAAGGTAACTGCATCCTACACCCTTGTATGGCAAGGCATGTAACTGCAAGGATGTCATTTACTTCATCCATTCATAGGCTTTGGTTTCCCCTTCCTTTTGACCTATTCATTGTTTCATAAAAGTATTTCACAATTTAGATGTCCTTCATTCTGTCTATATAACCAAACCATCATGACATACTTATTTCGTATTGATCACTCCGTTTGTACTCAATTCAGGTTCATTTCTCAACCTTCAGTTTTTGACCTTACCTTTTGTTAAACATGCTTCTTAATGAACCTTTCTGTCACCGTTTGTTCTATTTGTCCTGATAGTTCTTATTTTCATATAACAAAATGGGTAAAGGCATACTTGTATTTAAAGCATTTTTTTCATCTTTCAACAAAGATTCTCTCTCTGCAACAAGCCTGCTATTCATTCCTTTTCTACCATTTTCTACCTTTTTCTATCCATTTTCCCTTCAGCTTCAACATCCTTCTGAAGCATCACATCCAACCTGTTGCTATTTTTGTTACTTGTATGCAGTTTGCAGTCATTCACTCAGTTTTCCCTTTCATGTGACTACGTTTATATTTAAAATGTTCAGATCCATATTTTTATTGTGTCATACAGTCTCTGACATTCACTATAAGAGTTCTTATTTTCTCAGCCAACCATATATCATTATCTGTACACAAATCTACATGCACATGTAGTAATTAACTAATACCTGAAATGTCACTATGAGCATTCTTAATGCTATTATTATAATTACACTAAGGGGAATTGATACCTCCTTGCTTGTCTGTTCTCATGCATAGTTACATCCTTGTTTTATTTTGTCCGTATACACAATTTACATCCTACACATGCTATATTGCATTCAACTACCAACTAACATTCAATACAGGGTATCCCATTCACCCAAAATATTCCATAATTTTACATCATATTCCATATTTAACACCAACAAATGAATACATGTCCTTTTTCACATTCATACCATTCCATAGTGACTAGTTGAAGAGCAAAACTGTGATTTATACAGCACCTGCTTGGCAATGCTGCACTACTTTTCTGAAATTGTATTCATTGTCATGTTTCAACTAGAATTTCAACTAGAACACCTCAACAGGCACACTTAATAAACTGATTTTCCTGTAGTTTTATATCAGTTGTTGCTACTTTTCCCTTTGTATAGGGGAATATACACTGCATTCTCCCAAATGTCATACACAAATGTAGACTTCATAAATGTTAAACTTTTTAAATTAGAAATAATGGCAAATAGCAAAGAACAAAATGGAATCAGAACAAACCCAGGGTAATTTTTTTGTTTGTTTAAAAAGTCCCCTTAGATTCTTATGATAAAGGTGCATTTTAGATTCTGTTTGACCATATGAAAATATTCTCTTTAATTTTTAGGGAAAGGTTACCTGTAGTTCAGTTAACCTGACTGATGTTCTTTCATGATAAAACCTCTGTTCTTTCATGGTTTTTTTTTTCAATCAGGAAGCTTCAAAGCTGGATTTCTGGCTTTTTAAAAAATAAGGTATCAGCTGAATCTGGGCAAAATATATGTGTGATGCAAAGTCATCAACTTTTGTGTGACTTTGATGGATTTTGAATTGCTCTACTTTTAACCACAGGTGACTGCAATATATGCCTGTGGTTGTGTGTTTCTCTGGCAGATGTGGGGCTCTGCATGTAGGTGATCATATCCTTTCCATTGACGGGACTAGCACAGAGCATTGTTCCTTGTTGGAGGCCACCCAGCTATTAGCAGCCACATCAGAAAATGTTAAGCTAGAGATACTCCCTAGTCACCACAGTAGACTTCCCCTCAAGCCTCTGGATACAGGTATGTGGCATGAATGAGCATAACATGTGAAATGCATCTGTTTCTTTGGGGCATGTGTATTTCTGGGGGGAAATACCCACCACCATCCTGATTACACAGAAATGGGGGATTTGGAACAGGTTTGTTTTTTTTTGGGGGGGGGGGGAGAAACTTAAGACCATCTGGGAGGAGACAGGAACCTGGCCTTTTATTGATTCTTGTGGATTGGTGTGATTAATTTCTACTTTGGGAAATTAGTGTCTTCTAGAGTCAAGCAACCATCACTGTGCCAAAATAATAGCTATGAACAGAGGATTTATGATACTTCAGTGATGGCTGAGTGATGTTATGAAAGCACTGTAAATCACCAGTGAAGGAATAGCCAATGCCATTCCTGTCATGGGACAAGCTGATGAATAGATCAAATTCTAGCTATCATTTTAATTGTTCGATTTTGTTAAAAAATTGGCTTGGGTAAAAGGTGCCACCAGGGGTGGGATTCAACCGCTGTTACTACCGGTTCAGTGATTATGTTTTGCGCGCACATGTAATACAACTAAAGCTGTGCCACCCGGACAGCTGATAAGTGCTGCACACAGGTGCCCAGCATTTGAAAAACCATTTTAACTGCTTTTTCAACCTCAGCTGTGCCGCGCAAAGCAGCTGAGGTTGAAAAAGCAGGAAATAAAGGACAGGTAAGAGCCCAGGCAGGAGGGTGGGCCAAACAGAAGCAAATACAGAACCGGTTCAGTGTCTTCTGCTCTTCAGAGCTACTGATTCTATAGAGCTGGGCAGAACCGGTAGCATCCCACCCCTAGGTGCCACAAATAATTAAACACTGAAGTGATGATGGGACTTTTCACACCTTTGTTACAAGGTATATGTCCAGCTTCTAAAAACAATGCTGCTGGTTTAATAGGTGTATGCTTATTCCCATGCACATTTATGTGAATATAATTAACTGATGAACACTAATATGATTAATATATCAAGATTTGTAATTTTCTTAATTATGTCCCTATCCTCAATTGTAGTCTATTGGCTGCATTTGAAAAGGTCTTGGGATCAAGGTGGGAACTTCTCTGTTGTATTTGTTTGTTTAGCTTCCATGCCACTTCAGCCATTAAACTCTAAATAGCCTATGGCAATATATAAATAGTGTCAACACACTAGTCATAAAAACAATCATCATTCACATCAATGCATAAAATGATGACTACAACTATTCATAATCTTCTAAACGTAATTAAACCCAGATTTACGTTCTGTAAATCTTCAGAATGTCTTCATCTCAAGCACCTCCTAAATAACAACATTTTTTAAATGAGCTGGTAAGCCAGGTTTATCAGCATTTTTAACATTCTAACCTTCAAATGTATAGAGGAACAAATGGTTTTCTAGAAGCTTGTACTACAATGATCCATAACTCTTCATGAAAATAACTTTTTTCAAAGTAAATTTGGAAGGAAATATTCAAGTGAAAAATCACAGATTTTTTTTAACTCACTTTCTCATTCCTTTTGTTTTTTTTTAACACTACACATTCTTTCTGAAACACTTCATGAGGAATTGTTTTGAAATAATTTTTCCAGACCATGATTTTGTAGAAGTTGTTCTGAATACAACCAGGAAATGTGACTAGGTTCTCTGGCAGATGTTTCAGCCTGGGTTGTATTTTTCCAATCTTGTTTTACAACTTGTGAAGGCTATCTCTTCTAGTCATGAGTTTAACTCCAGCTCTTTTAATTTTACACACTCTAATAACCATCCTTCATGGATGAGATACTCTATAAATTGAATGTTCAGGTACAGTTTATGGAGTACCAATATTGTGAAGGACCAGCTCTCTGACAAGGGACACTGCTGTGACAAGTAGCTATACTACATTCCTTCGATTTAAAAAAGTAATTTCCATGGGTAATATCAGGAGCTTCTATTTCCATTTTTGTAGCCTATCCATTGCATTTAATAAACCTTTTGGGCCAATGTGAGTAAGCTCTTTGCAACTGGATTCTCTACCATCCGATTTCTAGATTTATCGGGAAGTCTTACAAGCTATGTTCACTGTTTGATCCACAATAAGAAACAAAAAGAGAAGTATGTGCTCTTTAATTCAGTAGTGCTTACTCTGATTTTATGTAAGCAACAGAATAGTAATGTGCCTTAAACTATCAAGAGGAAACTTTATTGCAAGTTCACAAAGGAGAAATACCTTTCCGCAAAGGCACTGTTGAACTTGCCCTTTCTCCATCATTATTCCCTGATCCTGTAGTTTTGAAAGTGCAGGAAAAATGAATCCTGTCAGATTGAAAGTGGAAGACAAATAAGCTATATGAGCCGGCATGCAAATATCTCAGTATACTTGATGGAGGACTTTTATCCAAAGCACTTCAAGCCAAGCCCCTCACCCCCCCAAAAATATTTTAGATAAATATTCAGATATTTTAAGGACTTTCTTTCCTATTTGTGTTCATTTTCCATGGGTTGATGTCATCTGTCCCCACTTAGTTTAGTTAGTAAAGAAAGACTCCTGGCCCTTTGTTTACCAAGGGTATACTTTACTGAAAGCTAAAGTGGTTACAGAAGTAGCAAAGCAGAATCTGCCAGTTTGGTACACAAAAGATACAATTAACTTTCCCTTTCACCCTGGCCATCCCCTTGTTACCGGTCAATGTCCAGTTAACAGCTGTTCATACCTTCTCCATCTCCACATTCTTTTGATTGACCTTAGACTGGATTGGTGCATACCTCTTTTTGGCCCGGCATGGCTTGGTTCTCAAACCCCTCCCTTGTCTTCCCACATTCCGATCTCCTTCCTCCAGTTGCTAATGTCCAGCTGGCAGGTTGCAATGCGAAGCTAGCAGAATGGCAGCCATGACAGGTGATTATTGTTTTTATGTGTGCAAATGGCATTTAAAAAATACTTTTAGTGGTGAGCCAACTAACCGGTTTCAGTTTCTTGTGATTTTTGACGTTCTCTTTTTGTTACCTTATCTGTCTATTATTGGCAAAAGTCAAAGTGCAGAAGAGTGAACACCACCACTGCTGGGATCCTTGTGTCAGCTACTGCCACACCCACCATCCAGGACATTGCAAGACACCTACCTGGAATCAGACAGCCAGCCAGGACTATTGTAAATGTAATGTAGTCTATGTTTCTACTTTCTTGATGTGCAGAGTCACAATCTGAATTCCCAACAAACAGGGCTGCCTGAGATTTACTCAAAATCTGTCCAATGAGCTGTTTCTTCTGGACCTTTCTTATTGCCAAGCCTTCTCTCTCTTTTTCTTTTGAAGACCCACTCTTGGTATTCAAGGTGGAAAAAGTGCATGTGGTTTTTTCTTTACTTGCTCCTCCAGGGACCCCATTCTCAGTATTCCTTGCAATCTCCTCCTTGTCCTGTCCTTGAGACATAGGTGTACGAGTTCAGTTTTTCTCAGTTATTTCTAAAAGAATGATAATAAAAAGGAAATCTCTATACTCTGCATAAGATTTGAGAAAGCCCTTTCAAATTTGGCAAATTTAAATATTTTCATAGATCAGCAAAGATGCTAAAATCAAGGTTGGAAGATTGTTAATTTAGTTATATTTAGTGAGATACTTTGGGAATGGGAAAGGAATTATCAGATATTTACTCATTTTGATAAATGTGTTGGTAAAAGTGGGACACAAAATTACATATTTTGATTCTTGACTAATTAGAATGGAATTGAATTGATACGAACAAATAAGAGTTCATATGAAATACTCTGATGGCTTCTTTTGTCTTTTATATAGCTCTTGTAGCTTCCAACTTTGCATCTCCCACCATGAACACATCAGGGTTGGCCTACCAGAATTCCAATACTCTACCTCGAAGCAATCATCCCATGAGCCCACGGGCCACAATGATGAGGAGAAGACAGAGGAAGAAGGAGCACAAAAGTTCATGTAAGGGTCACAGGTTCTTGCAGGATTATTCAGGTTCATCTTCAAAATCCCTTCCCCATTTTTGAAGAGTTAAAAGGGAATAGACAGTATGTCTGTTTTATCACGATCATGGTGATATGTTCTTGTTAATTCCCGTTAAGTTTTCCTCCAAACTCAGAAACTCTTGCAAGATCCAATCTGGGTCAGTCATCAGGACCAGAGGTTTTGTTGTCCGACCTTTCAGACTTGTGCTGGAGCCCATCTTCAGCACAAGTCCGAAAGCTCAGAAGATAGAACCTCTGATTCTAGTGACCTACCCAGATTGGATCCTGCAACATTATCCTGGGACATGTACTATATATTTGCCTTCATTCAACAGAAACTCTTCCTTCGCATTTAGACATTTTGTCATACTTTCTTCTAGCTACATATGAAGAGTGGTAGAGGAATGATGGTGCAGGTGGATGCATATCTTCTTATCCGAGGGGCAGCCCTTCTCTCCAAAGAGCTTGGTTAAGATTGATGCCAGTTGGCTTGAGCTGACTGTCTCCCTCAATAGAATGGTTTCTAAATTTCTCTTTGGAAAATGAAGTGTCCAGTGTTTCCTTAAAGTGCTAACTTGGTTGTGTCCCTCTCTTGTTTCAGTATCATTAGCTTCCAGCACTGTGGGTCCTGGTGGGCAGATTGTTCATACAGAAACAACAGAGGTGATTTTAAGAGGAGACCCCTTGAACGGCTTTGGACTGCAGCTCCAGGGTGGGATCTTTGCTACCGAAACCCTCTCTTCGCCGCCTCTCATCCGTTTCATTGAGCCAGACAGCCCAGCAGAAAGGTTAGAGACCTCTTGGGGTTCAGATGAGAAGGGTAGTGCTGCCACTTATCAAAAGAGGTGTCCCCTCCTTCCTTGTAGATATCCCATGACCCATTGGACCATCCTTCTTTCAACGTGTAACATAGACTGGTGCTGTTTCCCCTCCCACCATGACCCTCAGCAGAGTCTCAGCAAAGCTTCCTCTTCCTCCATCTCCTCAGTTGACCTGTGGAACTGTCTGCAACTATGGGAGAAACAAAGGGGACTGCAGACCACAAGGAAAACTCCCCTGATATATTCCTCTCCTGATGTATTTCTCAAGGTCCCTTCTATCCAAGGTGCCCTCCAGCCAGTCATATGCAGCAGGATTCTAAGTTCCCTCACCATCCACTGCCATACAAACATTTCAGACTTTTTGGATTGACTTCCAAAGCTGTCAAACTCCATCTGCCCATTAGGTCTTGATGCCTGCTGATTGGGCACAAGGTCAAGAGGGAGGCAGGAATCAGGGCACGTATACACTCTTCCCATCTTCCTTTGCACCATGCAAACAGTGGATTTCTATGAAAAGTAATATGGCACCACAGCTTTGTAAATTTCAGTCCCATGGGAATAATGGATTCTGGACTTTGGATGCATTCTATAACATAGCCCATTTGAGTTATCTTGGCTCAAAAATTGCTGCTTTATGATACACCACTTTGTGCGATTAGAGGTTATAAACAAACAGACATGAAAGTTTTAATACTATATACTTTCCTCTGAATTCTAACTGGCAATTACTTGGAGCTTCTGTCATCGGTAAGGTATAAAAGAATTAACAAAATAGCCAGTTCTGTTCTTTTTTGTTGTACCTCACAGTGTTTTCAGCATTTGCTGAGAGGAGCAATTCAATCTGGATTTTGTGATATTGTAGTAACATTCAGAATTAAACAGTCAAAGGCAGCCTACCATAAAATCACAAATCATTAAAATTGCACCATAATTATCCTGACAGCTTGATTAACTCAAAGAGCACTCTGCTCTGTGATCTAAATTTGACCACTTTGCTACAGCATCAGAATTAATAGATTATTCTGATATTGCATTCATAGCCTGAAGGACAGCAGTAGGTTTGCTTCTTCTGTAACAGGGATTCCTTTTCAAGTGTGTGTTTGTACGTACAAATAGACCTCAACTTACGACCAGCCACTTAGCAAACATTCAATGTTCTGAGAGTCCTCTTTGGGGATATTTACAGTCTGGTTCCAACAACTGCCCCCCCTCCAATGGTCAGATGACCACATCTCAGACACTCTGCAACTAGTCCTCATTTATGGCTGTTTGCAGCCCCTCACAGTTGTCCGACCACATTTTACTGGGGTTTTTTTTTGCCAAAAACTGAAAGTAAATGCCAGTTATTGACAAAACTAACTCATAGCCAAACATTGGTTCACTTAACAGCTGCGGTGTTCATTTAATGACCACCCCAAAAAAGGTAATAAGTCATGTGGGTGACTTGATTTACAACTGTCACTACTTACAGCCATGATGGGGAGGGTCCATTACAGTCATAAATCAAGGACTACCTGTGATAAGTAAGGACAGGTCTCTGTTGTTGGGTTCAGTTGCAACAAGTGAAAAGAGAAGATTATATCCATGGTGCAAAAATGAAACAGAACAAATAAATCTAGATCAGAGAATCTCAGAAGAGGAACAGTTTCGTGCTATGATAACATAGTTTGTTATCATAAAACTATGTGTGCCTTCATTCAGTAAGAATGAAGAGTTTTCTATGCTTTCAAATGTGTTGTTTATTTATGTTACATATTTTGTACTCATCTTTTTTTTCCAGGCAGCTGTTTTAGCAGCAGATATGATTGTAAAAATATATAATATCTGGAAGGGTTGTAATTTGAAGTACAGATTCAGATTGTGTTGTGTCTCACCTATACTTGGTGAAGTTGAATTTGGTCTAGTATTTTTTGTTGCCCCTTTCTTTCAGGACATTTTTAGACTAGTACATTTGACAGGCATCATAGTTGCAAAGTCAGCAGTTTGTGTATTTCTATGAGTGTGTGTATTTGTGTACAATTAGATATGTTGTCCCAGGAGGATGGTATTTACTCAGTTGCTGTTATGCTTCTTCCAAAACGTTGGCAGAAGAGCAAAACACGAGCATACTTAAATGGAATAAGGAACGCAAGTTTTATGATGTTTTTAGTTTTTAGATGGAAGCTTAACAAAAAGAGATCCAGCCTAGAATTAAGGAGAAATTTCCTATCAGTGAGAACAATTAAATAGCGGAACAGCTTGCTTCCAAAAGTTGTGGGCGGAAGATTTGGATTTCCACCACTGGAAGAAGAGATTGCACAACCATTTGTCCAGAATAGTAAAGGGTATTCTATTTGACCAAGGAGTTGGACTAGAACTCCAAGTTCCCTTCCAACTCTGTTGTTCTGTTTCAACTCTGTTATTCTGTTATTTTGTATACTATATATTCATGGATACCTATCCTACAGAAAAGTCCCTTTGCTAGTTTTGCAATCCTCTATTTTTAACAATTTGGCAATAGGGTATAAACTGCACTAGATATGTTTGAATTCTGCTAACTACAGTGATACCCAAGAGTAGTACACAGATTTCCATTCTATCTAAGTGCAACTATCTTACTCTGAATTCTGCCTTGCTTATCAGGTTGAGCATTTATTTGCTTCCATAAAATTTAAGCCACAGTTTCTTCCAATCAACACAACATTGATATTTGATCTTCTGCATATTCCATAAATCTTGAAAGTTTATATCCTGAGGCTGAACATGTGATCAGCCATTTATGATAATCCTCTTAGGACCCAATAAATCTTTGTTTATCTAATTAAGCTGGTTAAATGCAAAAAATGTGTTTCATAGTAGATTGTGTTCTGTTTGATAAGTTACAACTGGGGCAAGACTCATTTCTACCACCCAAACCTTGTAGTGATTGAAGATGAACTGTTATGATTTATTCTCAAAGGCCATGAAATACTTAACTCAAAGAAGTCCAGAAAGTGAGGTTTGTACCTATGGAGGCTAAATAATTATTGCTTTTAGAATTTGGAAACAAGGTCAGATTTGTGAGAGATCCTCAGAAATTACTTTTCCCAAACAAGACTCTTCCTCCCTCCCCTTCTCTTCAATTTATATTATCCACAGTTGTCTCCAGGATATGGTAAAAAAAAGTTAAGATGGCATCCATAACAGTATGCTAAAGGTTATGCCTATTTTTATAGGCAGAGCTTCAACTGAACCTTTGTGGCTCCCATCTTGACTGTTTTGACCACACCTTGCAGATATCTCAGCTGTTGTCACATTTTTTTTCACAAATGGAAGTATTTAAATGAGGCCATATACAACTGAGACCTGAGACCTCATTAACTGGAGGTAATGAAACAGAGGCTGAATGGCTTCTACCTGGGATTTTGGAGTTGCATGATATATGATGACTTTGCATTAATGCAAAGTGTCCTAACTGATTTCCAGGATCCCTTGCAACTCCAAACTTCAATGAGTTCTACCTTGGTTTACTTTACAAAATAGTATTCCTATTGCTTCTACTTTTATGCTGGCTTCAAATATTGTTGCATTTTGGGGGTATGTCTCATTATGTGGATTTATTCTGTTTAATAATTGATGACATTCTTTGCCCTGTTGAATATTCTATTTACTGAAAGGCAGATAGAGACACTGAAAAACAATTTATATACAATTTCAGATTTAAAAAATGTCTAGATTGTATACTGCATATACAGATCTTTTGATCCAGTTAAAAATGATTCAAACAAGGTAGAGGAACAAATTAACATTGCACACAGAGATAGAAGCCAAAAACAAAATCAAACAAAAACACAAATGAAACTTTTTCCCTCTCCAAATTTTCTTCTATGAATTTTAATTATGTGTTCTTCAGATATGGCAAAGCTTTTTGTTAAGTGGTTTACATTTCTCACTAAGGGATGTATAGTACATCTGTATTTTGCAAGGTCTCATAGTATGACGTAGTAGCTAAATTGTGGCCATAGAGCCATAGACCAGGGCTGTTAAACTCCCGGCCTCTGGGATGGATGGGTCATGCGCTGGCCAAACCCACACCCAGTTTAGCAAAGAGGAAAAAGTCACAATATGTCATGATACAGCATGTGATGCCAAGTTTGACATCTATGCCATAGACACATTTGACAACTAAATTTGAGGTTAGACTAGAAGACCTTCAAGGTCCCTTCCAGTCATATGCTACTATGATTCTGTGACATTTTTCAATAGGTTTTTTTTGTTTTGTTTTTTGCTTTCATTTCTTGTTACTTCACAAATGAAATTGGTCTATGATCTTCAGTTCAGCAAAGATTACAGTTTTCTCTCTAGAAACAAATCAGTTGACCCAATTTTATGTGAATACTTGGAAAGGTTGTTCTATGGGTTATTACTTACATGTGGTAGGTGAGTGTGAGAATAGCTAACTTTGTAAGACTCAGCAATTATGAAAAAAATGCCAACTCCTTTCCACTGCTTTTTACACTGGATATATAAGAGAAGTTCAGAAAGGTAGATTCACATCTTCAAATTCTTCTTAAGTAATCAAAATAAGAACATTTTTATTACTATTGTACTGTTGTTGCTAACAAGGTAAAGGGCATGTGGAATTTTTCAAGGATAGTCATGAAACATTATATGCTTTCCATCTTCCACTAATAGCAAACTGCTCCATCTTGAAACATTTGATCAAGCAGCCTGTCAGCTGGTGCTCCATTCAAAATCCAAGAAAGAAATACTTAGACTCCATTAATCAGAGAAAAGATATCTTTTACTGGAAATCAAGTGGTACCAACAAAAGAATTCTGAATCTGAGAAAATGGGCGCGTAAATCACATATACAAAGTAATGGCAACGTTCCCACCCCCAATAGTTCAATTGGCTCATCCAATTAAAAGTTGTGTATATCATCATGTGGGCATCTCCAGGTGGTGATGAGGCCTCTGTCCGTTGACCTTGACATATTTTGATAAAGAGTTGCAGCTGCGCATAGGATAGAAACTTAAGCAAGAACACCCCCCCACACACACACAATTTTTACAATTCTGTTTTGTAACACCTCTAGCTCACTTCCCATAATCATATCTCCCCTCCTCCCCCTATTACTTATGACAGCTGAAAGATGCAAAGCAAAGGGGGAAAAAAGAGAAAATCTTGAAGGCTGACATTGCCACTCCTTTTTAGAATAAAGGCCAAATATTTTTTTGTTTAAATTCAACTGCACATGCCATCTGGCCGTGACAAAAGTGCTCAAATTTTCTCAGGCATTGAAGAATAATGCGATAGGAAAGAAGCTTCTGTCATTTAACTCAGAGGACACTCAAATCACACCACTGAGCACCTACCTCTTTTAGATCCACACCCTTCATCCCTAATTGGCACTAAATTTCTCTTAGAGCTAGATACAGATTTTCCTGACCAGTCCTCATGAACCTACATGAAATTGTTGTATGCTATGTGAGGCTATCCAGGAGTCTTCATATTTTGATTGTTGTTGTATACCAAGAGTGTTGTAGCCTCTTATTGTACCCCAGTGAATTCTAAAAGTACTTAGTGTGGGGTATGATATAATCTTTCTAGTATTCTAGCCTCAACCTCGAGAGAACTAGCATTCATCTGTTTCATGCTATATTTCTGTTCTAAGTGGCTCAAAGTGCCTCCAAAGCACTGAACAACACAGATGAGGCCATGGAATTGGGAAGGAGGGAACAAGAATTCATCCAGACAATCACATAATTCTTCTAAAGAAGTTGGAGCAGCTCCAGAGTTTGCCAACAGGAAAACAGTCCCCTATTTCTGCATTTGGGGACATAGCTATAGCACATCTTGATCAGTGGCAGGCAGGCAAGTAAATTTGTGACTCACTGTTAGCCTTCTTAGCTAGCAATCAATCTCGAACAACTAATGCATGTGTAGCATGTAACCTATTGTTATAAGTATACCTACTATTTAAAAAAATTAAAAAATCAAAAATTGGTGATACATTTTTAATGGTTCGATATTATTTTGTTAATGGAAAATTGGCTGTCATGGCTGTCAACGAACCCAAGCAAATCAGAACTCTGAGACTGGAATCTTCCTCAAAGAACTTCTTTAGTGGGTACATCAAATTGGCACAATCAATTGAAAAACCAACACTAAATCTTTCCCAGTTTTCAGTATAATTAAAATAGGAAGTAACTCCCTCCCCAATTGTTACAGGTCATGTTGGCCAATTAGGTTATTTGGCAGGTTCTCCAGGCACTCCTCCCCATTTTATCCTTCACCTGGAGGAATGACCTTGGTTCTCATGAGAAAGCTCTGTGTTGTGTCTAGAAAAGCATTCCATCCTCCTTTCCCCCTTCCCCCTCTGTGTGGCAACTGAGGCACAGGAAAATGGCCCTTGCCAGGCTCATTTCAAAGTTGACAGTGACTTTGTTCATATTCATCCTTCTGAAGATCTATGTGAATCTCCAAGATATTCTCATATTATTATTTTTTAGAAAAAAAGTGATCTTGTAAATGCAACATCATAATTATATGTAATATCGTGCACCAGTGTGTTTATTAAAGGAACAACTGGCTATAATTTCATTTCACAAAATTTTATAAAGCTGGAGGGTTTGAGCCTTAAATATTCTATTAGCTCTTTTCAATCTACTAATAAGGGAAAGAAAATGTTTTGGATTCAGACAACCAAGATATAAAGCTTTTAAATTTTCAAAGTACTCTATTCTTGGGCTAAGTCATTTATTGCTTCTTGATTTCCCCCCTTATTGATTAGAAATGCAAAGACGTTTAGACAATTTTGCTAGAAGCTCAGTTCAAGTAATGGATTTTTCCCAGTCTATGAATGATACATCAGAAACACTCAACAGAGAGAGCTGTTCCTGTGTTTCTCAAATGCTTCTCCAGTTTTTTCATTGTAATGACTAAATAAGAGGACCTTTATACATAAATAAATCCTTTGATTTTAAAAGCATTAAGGTCTAACCAGCCATTTATAAATTGTCGTATTTCCATGTGGTTTGCCACAGTTGCAACTTAGTTTTTTTATTATTTTCAAAGATAGTCTTCCTTCATTTTAAAATTCTGCCCCTGGATTTTGCAGCGGTTCCTATCCAACACCACTCTGTTTCCATATTCTGAGGACTGCTACATCCACATATTTATTGTTCAGTTTATTTCTAAAACTGCCTTTGCCTCTTCTACTCAGAACCCCTTCCTGTGGCTTGATTCTTCCTCACTTTTGTAGTCTACAGCTTATGATCTGTCATTCAAAGTTATGACAGCCTCAAAAAGGATGCTTTATGGCTCATAAAATCCCTCCCTCCCTCTTTCTTTCTTTCTTTCTTTCTTTCTTTCTTTCTTTCTTTCTTTCT